CAACCGAGGCGAGATGTAAGAATATCACGTGATTGCCGCAATCGGTACAAACTATGCATTTTACATAACATTATAGCAAATAAAATTACAAACAACATTTGTAAATCTGAAATGCTTTTTATTAGAAACTGTCAAACTGTTTAGTAAAATTACAATACGTGTAGGATTTATACATATAGAATGTAAAATTACAACTTATCTTTGTAGATTTCCCAACTTGTTTTGGAAGATTACTCAAATTGTATTATAATTTTGTATTGGTATACACTGATTTGTAATTTTACTCATCCTTTGTTTTGCAAAACAATTATAATTTTACAAAAAATTTTAACACTACATGATTAAAATGATATATAGTTTAAATGCAAACAGAAGTTGTATAAAATAAATAATGTTGTGTATATTTTCTACTATGCAACTTCTTAGTAAGAATGTAGTAATTTTTCAAAAAATTTTAACAGTGCATGTAACTTTTTTTTGGTATTATGAACTACATAGACAATGTTCTATCATAAAGAAGCTTCTAGCCAAAAAGGAAGGGGGTAAAATTAGTTTTAATAAAACCAACTTGCTGTTTAATCCTATTAGTTTTGTAATAGCCAATGTCGAGAGTATTATAAAACCAGTATAAGAGCAATATGGCATTAAATTATTTTCATAATAATAAGTGGCCTTTTTCAGGACACCTCGTATAAACCATAGAAAATCATATAAACCTGATATTATCACGAGTGCGATCAAATGTCTTGGTGGAATTGTCGTTAACCGTTAGAACCATTTTCCATAACAACTTAATTCCATAGCTTCCTGAGATTTATGTATCCTTACATACATCAAAATTAATTGAGTATTTTTCTTCTTCTTTATAACTTAAATTAAATCTGCAACACTATAAATTAAAATAATTTTATATTTTGGCACTGGAAATGTCTAAACTACCGTGATATTTATTGCTTTTAGCCCAAACGTCTCCACATTTATATTTTATAAATAATGCACTGCCAAAATTATTACAATAGAACACCGAAAACCTTTTGTCTTGGCATGTAATTTAGAAAAATAAGTTTATAAATAATTTCTGCGACATATCTAAATACAATAAAATTATTTGTAAAATCATTTAATAATAATTTTAATAAAATGTTAAAATAACTTTGAATAAAGTTTATTAAGTGCTCACTGGTTTTAAAAAGGTTTTATTATGACAAAAATAATGCAAATTGTTTTAAAAAGATTATCATAATTGCCCAGTATCCTATGGTAAAAGATAGTTAAAAAAGGTTTTATAGCTATCTTAAAGGCTTTGCAAAAAAACTATTTGCTCTTAATGCCCTATTGATTTTATACTGGTTTTATAATACTCTCGACATTGGCCAATTTAAAACTTATTTGGCTTTTTAAAGGATTAAATAACAAGTTGGTTTTAAAACAATCCATTTTGGAACAAATAGTTTTTTAAAACATTGTAATTTAGAAAAATTAAGTTTATAAATAATTTCTGCGACATATCTAAATACAATAGAGTTATTTGTAAAATAATTTAATAATAATTTTAATAAAATGTTAAGATAAGTTTCAATAAAGTTTGTTAATCTATTAAGTGCTCACTGGTTTTAAAAAGGTTTTATTATGACAAAAATAATGCAAATTGTCTTAAAAAGATTATCATAATTTCCCAGTATACTATGGTAAAAGATTGTTAAAAAAGGTTTTATAGCTATCTTAAAGGCTTTGCAAAAAAACTATTTGCTCTTAATGCCCTATTGATTTTATACTGGTTTTATAATACTTTCGGCATTGGCCAATTTAAAACTTATTTGGCTTTTTAAAGGATTAAATAGCAAGTTGGTTTTAAAACTATCCATTTTGGAAAAAATAGTTTTTAAGAACATTGGTTTTGTTGTGGGCTTAAACAGTCTTTTAAGTACACTTTAAGATATCTTAAAGAGTTGACTTTTTAAAATACTTTTAGGTTTTAATGTAGCAGAACCTTAATAGTTTATAAGAGGTTTATAAGAGTTGTAGTAGTTTTTAGTTTTAAAGCGTTCTTAAAAGCCATAATAAAACTAAAAATGTTGCTTCCTCTTAGTTTTGAAATATTTTCTTGTAAAATTCACTGAACTTTGGTATTTGAAAGCGGGCATATTTTAGGTCATAATTTTTTCCCAGCGTATACAATATATTGATAAAGCAAAAAATTACTAATAAAACAATTAAGTCGATCTTCACCGTCTTTTTCCTTACATTGTAACTAAAACATTAATAGCCTGGGCGTGGTAAGTTATTCATAGCCGTAGTTAACTGATAAAAAACATTAATTATAAGTTTGAGACTAGCAAGTTGAAAGTTGTAATTTAAAATATATGGCTAGATAATTGCTTCAAAATCGTTCGTTTTTTGTCTGCTCATTTCTTGCCACCTGGTTAGCATCATTTCAATTTTAACATTTGTAAATTGACCAGACTGTTGTATCAAAAAAATTATATTGAGGTTTTTTGAAATTTTACATCCGGAAACAATGCTCTACATCTAAGAGTATTTTATGTATTTTCATAATATATATTATATAAGCCGGAAAGTGTTAAAAAAATATCGGAAAAAAAACCGTGGCTCGATTTGTTGTGTTGTTGGGTGTATTTCGAGAGGAAATCCTGGGTTGAGTTTTTACCGGTTTTCCAATAAACAGTGTTAATCTGAATGAAGAAATAAATTGCATACAGTCTCTGTAAATTTAAATTGTACCTATTAGATACAATAAATACACATTTAAGTAGTGATTAACGTGAATAGTGTAAACATTTCAATTCAGTAAAAATCGTCAAACAAATAAGTCGTCTAAATTTAAACAGCATTTAGCATTATTAAAAGAGTTGATTAAGAAAGTCTCCACTCAACGGTAAAATACCATTATATTATGTATTATATATAATATTATGTTGCCATAAATTCGTAGGTATAATTTGTTGTTTAAAATGCAGTTGTCGGCGTTTTTTAGAGAACTCAAACATAAAAATGGTTGATTTTAAGGTTATGTTTGTGCAAACATTATTTTTTACTAATTTCTTAAAAATGTCCAAACTTAAATATAAATTATATTAGGTAAAGTTATCATTAGTTAATTCTGCACCAACAAATGTACTTACCGAATTGGTTCCTTTGGCAAAACATGAAAATGCAACGATTTAGTTCTTGAATTTTATTTACAATTAAAAACGCAATAATTCTCCATGATCCCTTAGATAAAATACACACACTGAAGTAACTATATAAGCATTTAAGCGTTGAGTTTCTTAATCAATGATATAAGGAATAATCAATCGAAATCGAGTACTAAAAAAGTTTTTTTAAAAAACGTAAAACACAAATAACGTACGCGATTTATCTGTGCAATTGAACAAAAAGAATGTTACAATTTAATAAACCAACAATTTTTTGTATACTACTGGAAAATTTAAGAAATTTCAAATAATTTTTGTGGGTGCAACATTTAAAGTTTTCTACCAATAAAATAAAAAGCATGTTCCATAAAATTATTTTTTAAAGGGTTAAAACTATTCTCTAAAGAGTTCTTCTGATTTGTTTTTAAGAATTGAAATAAAATAATAAAATAAAATAAAAACCGGCGCATCCGCCATTTTTGCAACAAAAAGTATTTCGCGGTGGAATCCACTAGAATTTAATTGGACATATAAAATACATTGTTTTTCACGAAATATGTGTTAATTTGGCTCAAAAACGCCTCATTTGTTGGGTGTTAACAACTTTAAAAGATGTCATGATTTGTTTGAGACATCTTGTTAACTTTAATATAATTGGTGCGATTTAAAAATGCTCGAAATAAATTTGCTGGGTTTAGTTTTGTGTTGGCTTTTGTCAAGAAGATACATACATGTTAATTTTATACACAAAATCTTCAATAGTACGGTAAAAAAAATTTATACAGTAAAAAAATATTTGTTAATTTTAACCAAATATATAATAAGTAATTATAAAAAACATTTTGAAGATTTAATAACAAAATCCTATATCAATAATTCAACCATAATTTTTGTAATTTTTAAAAAGAATTTATTTTTGCAAACCTTTTTGTAGACACAGTAAAAAAAGTATCTGTTGGAAATTGGGAAATCAAATGAAAAGAATTTTAATAAGAAATATTGCTTTATAAATTATTTTCTAAACAAAAAAATTTACACATACCTACATATTAACACTAAAATAACATACACACAATTAAATAACACACCATTATCATCATCAAATTATAAAGAAATTTGGTACAATAAAATTATCAGTACTACTACAACACTTACTTCAGTTTTCCATATAATATGGAATTGACTACCTATATCTCAAAAACTGCTCTACTTTTATAATTATTGACAGTATTTTCGGATTCAGGGGACAATTTTACATAAGAATTGGATATTATATCGGGGATAACATGCTATCCCATTGTATAAGTGAAAAAGCAGCCACTAATAACTATAGTTATAAGTCATTTTTGAATAATTCATTTTTAGAGAGTAAGATACTTTATCTTTGATACTTTTTATCACTGCTTTTTATATTGGACAGAAGGTATCCTTAACTTAGTTAGTAACTAATAGTTACTTTAGAAAATCATCTTGTAACTTGTATCTAAAAAGTATCTAAGTTACTCGGTAAAGTAACTAAGATACATTCAAATAACTTAGATACTTTAAAGAAACTAAGATACTTTTTAAAGTAACTAAGATATATCTTAGTATACTTTTTAAAAGTATCTTAGTTACTTAAAAGTATCCTAGTTACTCAAAAGTATCTTTCATATAGTATTTTAGATACTTTCTAAAGTAACTAAAGATACTTTTAACTCAAAGTATCTAGTTACCCGAGGTAACTAAGTTATTTTGTTTAAAGTATCTTAGAAAAGTAACTATTTAGATACTTTTCAGAAGTACCTTTCCCAGCTCCGATTATCACAATAGTCGAATAACAGTTTATTTGTTTTGTTTCAGTTAATATGTCTAATGGCTCCGGATGAGCGGGGGCAGCACCGTCGCGGCCGTTGGCGGTGCAGCGGCGGCGCTACGATCGGCCGCCGCCGCCGGCGACCTCGCCACGTGCCAGCGCCTGCTGGGGGCGGCGAAATGCGCCCGCTTCTCGCGCGACGAACACGGACGCACCGCCCTCCATCTGGCGGCGGGCGGCGGCCGCGTGGCGGTGGTGCGGCTGCTGCTGGACGCCGCCGCCCCCAGGGAGGTGGACGGACCGGACGGGGCGGGCTGCACGGCGCTGCAGAGGGCGGCGGCTGACGGCCACGAGGAGGTGGTGCGGCTGCTGCTGGCCAGGGGGGCGGACGTCGACAAGCAAGACACGCTGGTGAGTAATAGTTATTTATAACCTATAGGTTAAGAAGGCTTTTTGTGCTAAGCTCAAGGGGGGTAGTTAAATTTTTTCTGACCTATACTTTTTATGGTTTTATTCAAGGCGTTTTGTAATTTTAAACATTTCTGTGAAATCGGAATTTCAATTGAGTTTACCGTTTTCGAGATATTTACAAAAAAAATCTCCTAATTACGTCACTGGGCTATTGACAACGTTGCCAGCTTTTTCTATGGTTGCCAGTGTGTTTAGTTTAAGATTCTTACGATAGATGGCGCCACGTTATAATATTTTAGTTTTAAAACCACTCGATCTATAATTTTAGTTGAGAAGAAGAAGAAGAATTGATTTTTTGACGTTTCTTTTTTTCGGGTTATGTTTTTTTTAAATTTAGATTATTGAAAATCAATGTTATTTGTAATTGATATTAGATAAGTGATTTATTAATAACGGACTCCAAAGCAGAGGAATCTTGTGAAATGGTTGGTTACATTGAACATTGGAGCTTTTAAACAAATAAATTAAGTACCTATAATTATAATCATATTTTGTCGTAAATGCATTTCATTAGTATAATGCCTAGTTCTTTATATTCTTTTAGATATATCTTGGACTCTAAAATATCAAACAGTAATATGATACCTCGTAATAAGGAAGATAGGTACTTAATGAATTTGGTGACCATTTTTCACTCAACTGACAGTGACAGTATTTGTACATAACCTCTTCGGGTATTTTCTGACATAACCGAATGAAATCATTAACAAGACAACTTGACAACAGGGTAATTTTCAACCAATAGAAATCTTAGAATGTTGGTCACATGGCGAGGTTTGTGACGTCATAAAAATTTATATTTTTTGTAAATATCTCGAAAACGGTAAACTCAATTGAAATTCTGATTTAACAGAAATGTTTAATATTACAAAACGCCTTGAGAAAACCATAAAAAGTATAGGTCAGAAAAAATTTAACTACCCCATTGAGCGAAGCACAAAAAGGCACTTCTTGGCCGAATGGCATACAACATTTTATCTTCAAAGCACTTTATATAGGTCAATTTAATTCAACATCAAAGCGGCCTAACCTCACTTTTTTAGAATCTCATTTATTTATTAGCTAAAGATTACATTAAATGCACAATAATTATTATTGCTTTTTGAAGCAGTAATAGTTTGACAATACCTAGCTACATGATTTAAGTAGAAATGGATTTTTGCTATTACATTGAATTTAATTAATTGTTTAATAAATAGGTAGGTATCTAATTTCAATTTGTTTGGATTTTTATTTAAAAAAATTGGAATGTTAAAGCTGTGTTTAACATTTAATTTCAATGAAAACTTAAAGCAAATTAAAACTTAAAGATAATTTAAATCGTAGAAAAAGAATCGTGCGTTTTCTTTGTTGCCTAACCTCACTTTTTGTTTTATTCATATTTAATTTTACAATAATTTAATGAAAAATATTAAACATTAACAGTAGAAAAAACAAATTAGTGCTTATTATAAATAAATTAAACCAGTTTAGTACGTTAATTTCTTAGAAAAGGATTAATTTGTCAAAACAATACCCCTAGCGAGAAAAAATCGAACTAATTACTTGCCTCATAAAATTTTTTATCGGCCTAGGCCATAACAAGGTATTTCTTTATGGAATGTTGACAACAATAAAGTTTAAATTATAGACCGCGTTTTGTTTCAGTTTTATTTTTTTTTTATTAAAAGATGTTGACTTCAAACATGTTGGACGCCATTTTATTTTGTATTAATTAGTTATTTGTATGTGTTAACACTAAAATAAAATTTTCAATTAGATAAAAATATCACACAAGAATTTTTTTTCTGCGAATTATTATATTATCGTATATCCCAGTGATTGTGCCGCCATCTAGCGACAGAATTAGTTGGAAATCCCAGGGGTGTCCAAACTTTCAATCTGAATTAAAAATACCACATTCATTTAAAATTTTCTGCCTATTTCAAAAATTAAAAAATAAAATGAATTCAAAATATATCCTATGATATTTTTAATGCATTTAAAAATTTCTCCTATGATATTTTTAATTTAGCGAATTAAAAATATGTGTTTAACTAAAAAATACAAATATTAGAAACAGATATTTTAAATTTCCTAAATTAAAAATATCAGTTTGGCTTAAAAATTAATGATGATATTCTTAATTCGTAACATACCTAAAAATTAATGTTAAAACACGTATTAAGATATCTATAAATACCTCATTAAATAACGAATAAATCAACTAAGATAATTTTTAAAAATGAAATTTGATACTAAGTAATAAATAAAAATATATATAATTACCATATAAATAACTTAATCAATTAACCAGTGGCAAATATGAGCCTACCAATTATTGATTTAAATGGATACAAGTTAATTCCTATCTGAAATATTTAAATTACTTTTTTTTCGGCTTAAGAATGCCTTGGAAACGTTTATCTTCAAACAGAAAACCTGTTTTTAAAATGGGATCTAGATTTAATATAATATGCCTGTGTTAACATGAGTATGTTGTTTATTTTATGGTATCGTCTTAATAATGTGTCAATGGTACAGAAACTTTGAATCATATGTTGTTTGTATTATATAATTTAAATCATATTATGGCAGGCAAATGTGTAGTTCTTAATAGAAGTCAGAGCTGGAAGTATCTTGTAACTTGTATCTAAAAAAGTATCTAAGTTACTCGGTAAAGTATCTTAGTTACTCAAAAGTATCTTAGATACTTTCATACAGTTACTAAATGAAAGTATATAGTTACTATATATACTATGTATACTTTTTAAAGTATCTTGTAACTAAAGATACTTTTATTTTGTTTAAAGTATCTTAGAAAAGTAACTAGATACTTTTCAGAAGTAACTTTTCCAGTTGGCTACTATTAAACTTGTTTGTAATTTTACATAATATTATTTTGACAAGAAAGTCTTTAAGTAGGTATTTGTTTTTATTTGAACGATAAAATTTTACGTACCAAACAAAATTTAATAACACAATGTAAAGTTCATGCTTTTGATATAAAGTATTAAACATATGCAACAAACTAAATATAGATTTATATTATGTGTATAAACCAATATAAAATGGCCAATTAACATTAACATATGCACTATAAATTATTCTATAAAGACATAAATAACAGTATTAAGATATTTTTCTCGTGTTTTATTATTATTAAATATTTAAATTTGCTATTTATATTTAAATCCATACTCCACTATTCCAAATCCTAAATATTTGCATAGAATGTGTCAAGTGTTTTGTCCAAAAATATTAGCATATCAAATGAATTTTCTACATTTGTTTATAAAAGAAACGGTAAATTATGGATAAAACATTTAATATCCCGTGAAATAGCAAATTTTCTTTGTTTAATTTGCTAATTTATTAATGAAATTTGGCTTCAAATCAGAAGCTTTTAATAGAATATGTAACTTCCCAAAAATAATGCAATATTTTAATAAATTTTAACATTAAAATAAACACCATGATATGTAAACAAACCAAAAACAATAGAAATTTTATAAACAGTGCTTTTTGTTGTAAAATTATACCAAAAAATAATTCGTTACTTGAAATATATTTACATCTCACCACCGTCTGTGCAGCTCTGATAACTATATAAAGAACTTTTTTTACTACCATTATTGTACATGTTTCCATGACACTAAGTGACCTTTTAAATACACTTTGATAAGTTTTGGCTTTATGGCGCTTTAGACACGGGCTGAAGTTAGTTTTACAGTTGTCAAATGTCATAAAATCGTTAAAATAATGTGCCTTTCTTGAACTTAAATAAATACTATATTGTACCGATAAAATGTACTAAATTTGGCAACATTCTCTTGCAGCATGGCAACAGCGCATTACACGAAGCTGCGTGGAAAGGTTACAGCCGAAGTCTGCGCATCTTGGCGGCCTCGGGCGCCAAGTTGTCCGTCGTAAACGCCGGGGGGTTCACAGCTTTACACCTGTGTTGCCAGAACGGCCACAACCAGTGTTGCCGCGAGTTGCTTTTGGCAGGTGGCAATCCGGACACGCAGAATAACTACGGCGACACGGCGTTGCACACGGCTGCGAGGTACGGGCATGCGGGTGTCACCAGGATTTTGATTTCCGCGCAGTGTAAGGTTAGCGAGCAGAATAAAAATGGCGACACTGCCCTGCATATTGCGGCGGCTATGGGACGCAGAAAGCTGACCAGGATTTTGTTGGAAGCGGGTTGTGAGAGGAGTGTGAGGAACAAGCAATGTGAAACTGCCAGGGACATAGCCTTGCGGAAAGACTTGCGCGAGATAGTGCCCATATTGGAGGATATAGTCCCGAAGAAGGATAAAAAGTTGCAGAAAGCAGCCAAGAAGAGGTCCAAAAGCAAAGTTAGATTCGAAGGAAAAGGTTGGTATTAGAGTCATTCCAAATAAAAACACCAAATGGGGTGCGCTGCTTGATTTTTTATTTTTATAAAAAAAAATCAAATATGAAAATCCGTTGCCGTTTTAATTTTTGGATTCTTTACTTTTAATCGGCACCCTTTAGAAATCTGAAATCGTGTCAATTTCTTACTCTCTTATAGTGGGCCAGAACTTTTTTCTGTGACTAATATTGAAATGATTTTAATTTTGTTTTACTGTTCAGTGAGTGTGTTTTCGATATAAATTATTATTATCCAATTAGTTAATCTCATAAAAGAATTGTAAACCACTAAAGATTCATGATAATTTGCCAATTTTTGTGATTTTTGTCTGGCTCCTGTGCCTATTCTACTAAATCTAGAAAGTTATTTTTTTTCAGGTATTAAGTACTTATACAATAGAAAACTTAACTATTATTTTAAGTTTCTAGTCTGTCATTTTCTTCATTAAAAAAATTATTGAAACTTGATAATTCTTAAAATTAGTCAATTTTGCCCTCAGAAATCATTATGTTGAGGAAAAAAAAATCTGAAATTTTCAGGAAATGTAGTCCCCACCTTTATCTTTTCAGTCCAGTTAGTCTTGTTTTGTTATATTTATTCCTTTAAAAGATATATTAATTTTTTTAATGCCCGTTTAGTAGCGATATTGTTAGTTTTATTTATAATTTAAAATTTAGATGGCTTTCATGTTTGGTGGAAAAGTGTCAAAAGTATTTCATAAATAATATTTGTGCGTATTTCTTTGGTAAATTTTGTATATAACAAAACTTTTTAAAATCACCAAAGGAATACCTACCACAAATAATAATTATGGAATATTTTTTCTGATATATTTGGTAGTTATGTTATATTTTTATTGTATAATGATGTGAAATTAATAGAGTTAATTTAAACGTATAAAAAATGCGTTAGGAGTTTTTTGTCGGTTTCTTTCACAATTTAAACCAAGTTAGTCTTGTTCTATTATTTTGATCCCTTTAGTAAGGCACTGATTAGTTAATAGTTATATGTATGTATTTTAAATGTTAGTGTTGGAAAAAAAATCACACAATCTGTAAATACTTCTTTAAATTTTAGTTTTTAGGTAACTGGTTAAAATAAAACATGTTATAATAAAGGGGTTTATTTAGAATATTTTTTGGTTTTTGCTTATTTTTAACAATTTAAAACTTCTGAAAACTTGAATATTTTCTATGAAAAAGAGGTACAAAATTATGATACGTTCTTGCATTTTTAATTGCAATTAAATTCATGAATCTCGAACACTCCGTCATTTATAACACTTGCAAACTTGCAAACTTTTTGAAATCACAATTTAAATATGCACAAATAATATTTATGAAATATTTTTGACAGTTCTGACATTTCTCTACCAAACATGAATTGACTAAGTCAAAGCCATCTAAATTTTAAATTATAAATAAAACTAACAATATCGCTTCTTAACTGCATTAAAAAAAATATTATATCTTTTACATGGATAAAAATAACAAAACAAGACTGAAAAAAAGAAGGTTGGGACTACATTTCCTGAAAGTTTCAGATTTTCATTTTTTCCTCAAAATAATGATTTCTGAGGGCAAAATTGGCTAATTTTGAAAATTATCAATTTTCAATATTTTTTTTAATAAAGAAAATAATAGTCTAGAAACTTAAAATAATAGTTTTCTATTGTATAAGTACTTGATACCTGAAAAAAAGCAACTTTCTAGATTTAGCAGAATAGGCACAGGAGCCAGACAAAAATCACAAAAATTGGCAAATTATTACGAATCTTTAGTAGTTTACCATTCTTTTATGAGATGAACTAATTAGATAATAATAATTAATATTGAAAACATACTTACTATGCAGTAAAATAAAATTACAATCATTTCAATAATTGCCACAGAAAAAAGTTTTAGCCTCTTATAAGAGAGTAAGAAAATGACACGATTTTAGGTTTCTAAAGGGTGCCGATTAAAAATAAAGCAACTAAAAATTAAAACAGCAACGGTTTTTCATATACATATGTTACCTAAAAGATCATCTTCAAATTTTTTCATTAAAATAAAAAATCAAGCAGCGCACTTTTAAATTCATATTTGGTGTTTTCATTTGGATTGACTCATTATACATCATTTTATAAAGGGTACGTTTTATGTAATTAATGTTATATATTAAAATACTGAATACCTTTTGACATAAGGAATAAAGGAAAAATATAAAAAAAAAACATTTTTCCAAAGATAAAGAAAAAATATGCATTAGAAGTTTTTTTTGTGATACGCCACTGGTTACACACTTCGTTTATCTCTGCACACTTGTATTTTGTGAGTACATTGATACCAACCAACAAAGTAGCTGCGCGTTGCCAGATGTAAAAAATTGTTACTAAAAATTTTTCTTGCAAAAAATAAATAAAAACTCAATAAATACAAAAGTTTTATGCCCTTAAAGCTCTAATACCCTTCTGTATTTATTTACTGATCCAGCTATTAGCTTAAGCAATGATTAGAAAATTTAGTACCTTTGAAATTTGAAATCCATAACCACAAAATTAATTTTTTATCAGTTTTTTTCTCTGTTTACTCAGATGAAATTGGGACTAGTTCACAGGTTAAACTTTAAACATTTAATTTGTGTAAATAAATCCAAAAGCACTTCCTTTAGTTAAGATATTTACAATTTGAAAACATAACCTAAAATTTAAAAGAAATGCACTAGATTCTGTAATAAAAGTTGGCAGATTTTGTTTGAATTTACCTTCAGTACAAAAATGACATAACCAACAATTAATAAAAACGCCAAATTGACAATTTGCATTGTTAATTTTGTCATTTTTGTAATTAAGCTAAATTTAAACAATGTTTGTCAACTTTTTTGAGAGATTTTGGAAATACTGTTGTTACCAACCATAACATAATAAATCCACCAGATTAACCTAAAGTTCCTAGTCGATCAGTGGCGTACTTTTTGGTAGGATATAGGTTATTATAAATTATTTTTAGACTTTGGAATTTAGAAAAAAAAGTTTCAGGTGCTTCTTTATGGACCCTAAGGAACAACCCATTTTAATATATAACATTAATTACATAACACCCTGTATAATAAATAATAATAATTTTTTTTCCAGACGTTGTAGATAGCCCCGAAAAACCCAAAAACTGGTCTCCTTACGGATGCCACTACTACCCTGACCCAGAAGCCTTTCCTTCGCCTAGATTAGACTCCCTACCTCACGAGCCTTTGAAAAAAGGCGAACAGTACTACCTAGACTTGGCCGGCAACATTTGCAAAGGCCCTGTGGGTGTGGGCTACACCTGCTACTGCGCACCGCTGTTCAGGCACATCGAGGCCAAGCTCGAAAAGGACAAGAAAGAGTTACAAAGAGCGCAAGTGCGTTTAGGGCAACGAGTGGCAGGTTTAGAGCAAAAGTTAAACCGCGGATCGCACGCTAGACGGTCGGAAAGAGTTCAACCCACAACGTCCAGGGAAATTGAGTCCAATTTGGTGCGTAGCAGAAGCCTGGAGATGCTGGACAACATTGAAATCGCCCCCCCTACAAACTACAAGGTAAAACCATTATACAGACTGTATAGAATCAAGTAAGTAAGGCTGGAGACAAGGATGACAAATTATATTCTGATCAGAGAAAAATAAACAAACTTTGATTAGGCGTGGTTTAAACCAAGCCATTCGTAATTACGAACCATAGTTGCCAGGTTGTTTTAAATCAGAAGAGAACGATTATAATTATTTAATAAATAGTTCAATTTTATTTGTTTGAAACTTTAAAAATAACAAAAAAATTAATAATATGTCAAAAATAATTTGATTTAATTAACTGTCTTACTTTTAATATTAAAAAATAAGAAAAACAACCCTTTTAGGAAACAATAATAGCATATCGGCCATTTCAAGCGCGCGAAACGCACGAATTACAAAACTGTTTTTATAAAAAAAATTGTAGATTATTTATTATAAATTATTTTGGCATCAATATTGTCAAAAATATTCTTCTTTTATTATGTTATACATTAAATCAAAAAAACTCAAGAAATATTTTATGAAAGTAGATATAATTTTAATAATTGAAAGGTGTGGACGGGACAAAAAAAAGATTTATCTTGTCCCGTCCATCCCTGTCAATTATTGAAATTATCTCTACTTTTATAAAATATTTCTTGCGATTTTTTTTATTTAATGTATACCCTAATAATAGAAGAATTTTTTTGACAATTTTGATGCAAAAATAATATATAATAAATTAGCTACAATTTTTTTTATAAAAACAGTTTTGTGATTTGTCCCGTCCATCCGCTTGAAATGGCCGATATGGAAACAGCGCGGCATGCAGCCAGATACAAGGGCATGCAGTTTGTTTGTTCAGTAGCTCCGAGGCTGTCGTAGGGAAATGTGTATAGTTTTTAAGAAATACATTTTCGCCATTAACTGGAATTTAATGGATTTTAAACAATACTTAGTTTTTATTTACAGAAATGCATTAAAACAAAACAAACGAATTCGATAAAAATAAAACCTATAAATTCTCAAACAAAAATAATTCTAAAATAACGAAAATAACTTTTTTTCTAAATTAAATGTTCAAATAGACCACCAGCAGCAGTTAAACAATACCCTAGCCTGTGTATTAAAGATTCAATCCCTACCACAGTGGGCGGGGTTTGGCACTTGTTTTATTTAAGTGTATCTATTCGTTTTAATACACACTGTATTATAACTAAACTAAACAATACTTGAAAAAGGACAACTTTGGCGATATGTTAAACAAATATTAGGAATATTCCCAGCACCAAAACAAAACACAAAGTGCCTAAAAACATGGTTACACTTCCCTTCTGAAGATGCCATGATCGTTGGCGAAAAGTACTTTAAACAAAACAATTTTTGACAAAGTTTTTTTACTCAGGAGTATGGATGAGCTTGACCCCGTGATCGCAGACGCAGACTTCAGACCCTCGGTGAAGGAACTCGTGGCCAGGATCCAGCAACAGGTGAATAGCAACTCGGGGGGCAACAATTCCGAGTCTAGCGACGACGACGACGCCCCCTTGCGGATGACGCACCAAAAGGGGCCGATGGGCGACTCCAACATGGCGTCGGTTGGGCTGCAGATGCCCAATTACGAGAACGTGCCCACCAATGAGGCGCCCAGGTCCAGGAGCGGGTTGTACAATCCTAACGGTGGCAGTACTGCTCTTATCGATTCGAATACCAGGTACATCGAGCCGATCGTGAAGATACAGGAGTCTAATATAAGGTTAGTGGGTTTTAGAGCTTAGTTGATGTAGTTTGGATTAGAAACGAGTTTCAAGAGATTGAATTGATAAACTTAATAATAAATCTAACCAACATTGTTTTGGAAATTTTCTACAATACGCTTTTATCAAAATGTAAATGGAACACTTTTTTGTGGGTTTTGACAACCTAAAAGTTTTTTTGACAATATTATTTAATAAAAAAATTTTAAAATAAAAGAATCTAAAATTTAAAGAGTAAAAGAATGAAAGAATAAAAGATTAAAATAATGAAAAAATTAAAGAATGAAAAATTGAAAGAGTGAAAAAATTAAAGAATACAAAATTAAAAGGGTGAAAGGATGAAAAATTAAAAAAATTGAGGAATGATAAATTGAAAGAGTGAAAGATAAAAGTTGGAATGAGTAAAATATTAAAAGTATGAAGGAATGAAAATATTAAAGAAGGAAAGAATAAAAGAATCAAAGATTGAAAGAATGAAAAATTGAAAAAATGAAAGGATGAAAGATTGAAATAATGAAAAAATTACAAATTAAAATTAAAGAATAAAGAAATTAATGGGTGAAAAAGTGAAAAAATAAAAATGAAAAAATAAAAGAATGAAAAATTGAAACAGTAAGAGAATAAAATATATTTTAATTTTTCATCCTTTAATTTTTTCAATATTTAATTTAATTTCTTAATCTTTTAATATTTCACTCCTTTCTTATAAGAAAGGAGTGAAATATTAAAAGATTAAGGAATTAAATTAAATATTGAAAAAATTAAAGAATGAAAAATTAAAGAGTGAAAGATAAAAGTTGGGAAGAGTAAAATATTAAAAGAATGAAGGAATTTAAAAATTTAAAAAGGAAATATTCAAAGAATTGAAGAATCAAAGAGTAAAATAATGAAAGAATTAAAAAATAAATGAGTAAAAAAATGAATAAATGAAAAAATGAAAGATTGAAATAATGAAAAATTAAAGAATTAAATTAAACAATGAAATATTAAAAGTAAAAAATTAAAAAATAATAAATTGGAAGAGTGAAAGAATGATAAAATGAAATAATGAAAGAATAAAAAAATAAAAAATGGAAGAATGAAAAAATTAAATAATTAAAGAATAAAAGAAAAAAAGAATGAATGAATAAAATAATAAAAGTTGAAAGATGGAATGAATAAAAAAATAAAAGAATAAAAAAATGAAAGAATGAAAAAATGAAAGAATAAAATAATGAAAATATGAAAGAATGAATGAACAAAAGAATGAAAGTTAAAAGATGGAAAGGGTGAAATAATAAAAGATTAAATTAAAAAATTAACACAATTAACACATTAAAATAAAAAATTAACACAATTGAATCAGTGAGATTAAAAACAGTGCAAGTTCAAAAGTTTTATTTTGATAAATTGCTAAAATCAATTTAAAAGTTTAAAATGCATTTTTGTAAGAAGATATAAATCATTTTACAAAATACGGATATTGTTTGCATAAATCAACATGCAGAAAATTTTTACTACCCAATTCTTCACTTAACTTATTTTTATGCTAAAATGCACTTGTACCCTTTTGCTTCTTATCCCTTCATATATAAATAAATATTCTAAAAAACGCATTTTGAACTATAAAACTGTTTTTATGAAATAATTTATCTTACCGATTCAATGAAAAAATAATGACAAGAATGAAAGGATAATATAATGAAAAAATTGAAGTATAAAATAATGAATAAAAGATGGAAAGAGTGAAATATTAAAAAAATTAAATAATGGAAGAATGAAAAAATTAAAGAATTAAATTATATATAAATTAAAGAAGAAAAAGGAATAAAAGAATGGCGGAAAGAATAATCAAAAGATGATGAAAAAGGTTTTATAAAAGTTTGTATCTATTTTGCGTTCATAATGACTTCATTATAACAGCGCTTTCGGTGCTGTAATGAGATACTTTCTCCCACCCAAAATTTTGATTTTATAGGTTGGCTATACTTTAAACAGCATAATATTTTGCATATTGGTTATAATATTTTTATGATTTTTCTAGTACTTACGAGACTTTTCTGGCAATAAATTTTGTTTGACACCAAAGAAAATCCTTTTTTTCTTCTTTAACATTAACAGCCGCTTATTGCAAATAAGTAAATTAAGGACGGCATGGCAAATCGATTTTGACGTTAACTGTCAAACCAACTATCTAAAGTAAAATTTTTTTATAGAATTTTTGCGAAATAGATAAAATAGAACTCATGTCATAAGACCTTTTGTCGCACTCGTCCATTATAAATTGTCCGCGTGCGACAAAATGACGCCTTATGACATTAGTTCTTACAGTGTGTATTAGTTCTTACAGTGTGTATTAAAACGAATAGATACACTTAAATAAAACAAGTGCCAAACCCCGCCCACTGTGGTAGGGATTGCAGTTATTTTCGTTATTTTAGAATTATTTTTGTTTGTATAGGTTTTATTTTTTAGAATTCGTTTGTTTTGTTTTAATGCATTTCTGCAAATAAAAACTAAGTATTGTTTAAAATCCATTAAATTCCAGTTAATGGCGAAAATGTATTTCTTAAAAACAATACACATTTCCCTACGACAGCGTCGGAGCTACTGAACAAACTCTTTATGCCCTTGTATCTGGCTGCATGCCGCGCTGTTGCCATATGCTATTATTGTTTCCTAAAAGGCTTGTTTTTCTTATTTTTAATATTAAAAGTAAGAAAATTAACTAAATCAAATTATTTTTGACATATTATTAATTTTTTTGTTATTTTTAAAGTCTCAAAGAAATAAAATTGAACTATTTATTAAATAACTATAATCGTTCTCTTCTGATTTAAAACAACCTGGCAACTATGGTTCGTAATTACGAATGGCTTGGTTTAAACCACGCCCAATTAAAGTTTGTTTCTTTTTCTCTGATCAGAATATAATTTGTCATCCTAGTCTCCAGCCTTACTTACTTGATTCTATACAGTCTGTATACCGTACCTTCACTTGCAAGTTATACATAGGGAAAATACATTGTAGGTGGAACAGACAAGTCGAAGTCGGCGCGGTCAGCGCGAAACGAAAATGTTCCCAGAAATTATTTTGACGAGTGGATGAGTAGACTAACATGCGACGTAACAGGCGACCTTGTTTACTGGCGATTAAAATTTTATTACGTCCAAATAATTTCTGAGAACTTTTTCGCTTTGCGCTGACTTCAACTTGTCTGGTCCACCTACAATGTATTTTCCCTATGTATAGCTTGCAAATGAAGGTACGGTATTTTATCTAATAAAACCTCTTATATTTCTTTAGGTATAACGACACTTACACCAAGTACATGCACCCACCCGCTTCGGGCGCCAAACTGGACCCGCGCTACCAGCACCAAGCGGCACCGGAAACCCGCTACCACCAGCCGGAAGGCGACTTCCGGCTGCAGTACTACGCCGCGCAGGAGATCCCGCCCCCCGCCCAGGCCTACTACGACCACGGCGTGAACGCCAGGCTGGCCAAGCTGAGGCTGCTCGACGGCGCAAAGGCGCACGACGCGAAGACGCCGCTGGAGGGCACGTCGCGACGCCTCGACACGACGCGCTACGACCAGAACCACAACGACCACGTCGACAGGGACACGAACAACGATTCGGGGTACTCCACCAAGGTGTACGGCAGCAGCAAGGGCAACTCGCCCAGTTTGTCGGGGCAGATAGACAACGAGTGCATAGGCGCGTCCAGTTTGGTGTGACAGTGTTGCCAAGTTCGCGGAACTCGTACGAAACTTGTGTTCTCAGTGCCTTAAACATTAACAAGATGAAGATTTTTCTACTACCTTTTTGTTGTTGATTTCGAAATTAATTTATTTTTTTAACACACACACCCACAAACTGTTGTAAGACATTGAATTTTATATTTTATTTTTTTGACAAATTGTTGATTAATATGTATATGTAGTATATTAATAAAGCATATATTTTATTTAAAACGATCTTTTTTATTATCCAAAAGCAACCCAAGAAACAATTTTGTTTTAATTAATTTGGTTACAGAAACATAAGAGCTTATTATTATTATTATTAAGGGACTTGTTTAGCATGATAATATAATGAAAGAATAAATGAATAAAATAATAAAAATTGGGAAATGGGGAAAATGAAAATTATGTAAGGTTAGTAGGTTTTTTAGAGCTTAGTTGATGTATTTTGGCTTAAAAACGTGAGAATAAAGGAATAAAAAAATGAAAGAAAAAAAGAATGAAAAAATGATAGAAAGAAAGAAGGAAAGAAAAAAAGAATGAAAGAACAAAATAATGAAAGAAAGAATGAAAAAATGAAAGAATGAAAAAATAAAAGAAAGAAAGAAGGAAGAATTAAAAAATAAAAGAATGAAAAAATTAAAGAAAAAAAGAATGAAAGAATAAAAGAATTATATAATGAAAGAAAGAAAAAAAGAATGAATGAAAAAAATTAAAGAATAAAAGAATTATAGAATGAAAGAAAGAATAAAAGAACGAAAAAATTTAAAAAAAAGAATGAAAGAAAGAATGAAAGAATAAAAGAATGAAAAATTAAAAAAAAACAAAGTGTACGGCAGCAGCAAGGGCAACTCGCCCAGTTTGTCGGGGCAGATAGACAACGAGTGCATAGGCGCGTCCAGTTTGGTGTGACAGTGTTGCCAAGTTCGCGGAACTCGTACGAAACTTGTGTTCTCAGTGCCTAAAACATTAACAAGATGAAGATTTTTCTACTACTTTTTTGTTGTTGATTTCGAAATTAATTTATTTTTTTAACACACACACGCAAACTGTTGCAAGACATTGAATTTTATATTTTATTTTTTTGACAAATTGTTGATTAATATGTATATGTAGTATATTAATAAAGCATATATTTTATTTAAAACGATCTTTTTTATTATCCGAAAGCAACCCAAGAAACAATTTTGTTTTAATTAATTTGGTTACAGAAACATTTATATCACCCTTATATACTCCTTAAAGAGCTTATTTGGAGAGTTTATAAAATGTTATTATTACCTGTGTTTAGTAACACTATGAAACCCAAGTTTTATAACTAGAGGTGAAATATTTTGGAAACCACTATATAACTTCTTAATATGTCTCTCTCCCTCAGGCACATTAAAAATATATATTTTTTCCCAAGCTATCTTTTTTTTACCCTATACCTATATTAAGGGACATGATAATAATGAAATAATAAAAGAAATAAAGAATGAATGAATAAAATAATAAAAATTGAAAGATGGGGAAAATGAAAAAATTACCTTATTAGAGCTTAGTTGATGTATTTTGGGTTAAAAACGTAAGAATGAAGGAATAAAAAAATGAAAGAAAAAAAGAATGAAAAAATGAAATAAGAAAAGAAGGAAAGAATTAAATAATAAAGGAATGAAAAAATAAAAGAAAAAAAAATGGAAGAAAAAAAGAATGAATGAAAGAATTAAAGAATTATCTAAGAAAGAAAAAATGAAAGAAAAAAAGAATGAACGAAAGAATGAAAGAATAAAAGAATTAAAGAATGAAAGAATAAAAGAATGAAAGAATAAAAGAATGAAAAAATTAAAGAAAAAAAGAATGAAAGAAAGAATAAAAAATTAAAGAATTAAATAATAAAAGAATTATAGAATGAAAGAAAGAAATAATGAAACAAGGAAAGAATAGACGAATGAATAAATGAAAGAAAAAAAGAATGAAAAAATTAAAGAATAAAATAATTATAGAATGAAAAAATAAAAGAATGAAAGAAAAAAAGAATGAAATAATAAAAGAAGAAAAGAAAGAAAAAATTAAGAACAGAAAGAATGAAAAAATGAAAGAAGAAAAGAATGAAAAAATGAAAGAATACAAGAATGAAAGAATGAAAGAATGAAAGAATGAAAGAATGAAAGAATGAAAGAATGAAAGAATGAAAGAATGAAAGAATGAAAGAATGAAAGAATGAAAGAATGAAAGAATGAAAGAATGAAAGAATGAAAGAATGAAAGAATGAAAGAATGAAATAATGAAAGAATGAAAGAATGAAAGAATGAAAGAATGAAAGAATGAAAGAATGAAAGAATGAAAGAATGAAAGAATGAAAGAATGAAAGAATGAAAGAATGAAAGAATGAAAGAATGAAAGAATGAAAGAATGAAAGAATGAAAGAATGAAAGAATGAAAGAATGAAAGAATGAAAGAATGAAAGAATGAAAGAATGAAAGAATGAAAGAATGAAAGAATGAAAGAATGAAAGAATGAAAGAATGAAAGAATGAAAGAATGAAAGAATGAAAGAATGAAAGAATGAAAGAATGAAAGAATGAAAGAATGAAAGAATGAAAGAATGAAAGAATGAAAGAATGAAAGAATGAAAGAATGAAAGAATGAAAGAATGAAAGAATGAAAGAATGAAAGAATGAAAGAATGAAAGAATGAAAGAATGAAAGAATGAAAGAATGAAAGAATGAAAGAATGAAAGAATGAAAGAATGAAAGAATGAAAGAATGAAAGAATGAAAGAATGAAAGAATGAAAGAATGAAAGATTGAAAGAATGAAAAAATGAAAGAATAAAAGAATTATAGAATGAAAGAATTAAAGAAAAAAAGAATAAAATATTAAAAATTAAAAAGAAGAATAAAAAATTAAAGAAGTGAATTAAAGAATAAAGAAATAAAAGATGAAAAATTGAAAGAGTAAAAGAATGAATGAATAAAATAATAATAGTTGAAAGATGGGAAAAATTAAAAAAATATATATAAATAAATATAAAAATATTGTATTTAATCTTTCACTTTTTAAATTTTTCATTATTTCATTCTGCAGTATTATTATGTAGTTGATGTATTTTGGGTTAAAAACGAGAGAATAAAAGAAGAAAAAAATGAACGTAAAAAATAATGAAACAATTAAAGGATGAAAGAATAAAAGATGGAAAGAGTGAAATATTAAAAAATTTAAATAATGAAGAAATTAAAGAATTGAATTAAAGAATAAAAAATAAAACAGGATGGCAAAATGAAAGAGAGGAAAAATTAAACAATGAAAAATTGAAAAAGTGTAAGATGAAAGTTGGAAAAAGTAAAAGATTGAAATAATAAAAGAATGAAAGGATAAAGGAATCAAAAAATTATAGAATGAAAGAATTAAAAAAAAGATGGCGGAAAGGATGATGAAAGAAAGGTCTAGTAATGGATCAAAGTAGTGGAGTGCTTGACGGCGATCACGTAAATGGCTGTTTTAAGTGCAAATTACAATTCGAAGATGTAAAAGCGATAATTCAATGTACAGTTTGCAAATTATTTTATCATGGAAAATGTGAAAATGTCGATATGCGTGGGTTTCACATGAAAAAGTCGACCTGGAAATGTGTAAATTGTGAACCACACACAAGTGAGGCTAAAACTGCATCGGATGCTAACAAACCAGAGCGTACGAGAAAGCGGAGCCGTTTAGATGATTATCTCGATCAGGATCTTGCGAGTGAAATAAGTGCTAAGTTGCTATTTTTAGTAGAGACAACTAAGGAGCTAAGCCAAAAAATGGATTTTCTATTAGTCGAAAACCGAAACCTTAAAGAAGAATTAGCTAGCTTAAAGGAAAGTAAACAAACAACAGTAATACCGAAAGAAAATTCTACGTCTTCCTATGCGAAAATTGTCACAAAAAATGATAACAAAGTCTTGGTTGTTAAACAAAAGTGTCCAGAAAAAGATGTTGGGAAAGTCAAAGAAGATCTGAGAAATAAAGTTAATCCTACAGACATAGGTGCGGGTTTATCGTTAGGTAAACCGACAAAAAATGGGGGTATTATTCTTAAATGTGGCAATGAAAAAGATTTAAACAGCATACAGGCTCATATTCAAAATAAATTGGGTGACAGTTATAGTGTTGATGTCCCGAAAGTATTGGAACACCGGATAAAAGTGGTAGGCTTAAGTGAATCTGAAAATGCCCTTACAGATAATGAGATTGTGTCGAAAATCGAAAGTCAAAACAACTTACAAAACATACCTGACAAGAAAATTAATATTGTACGAAAAACTAAAGTTGTAAATGGCAAGTTCACTATGGTACTGGAAGTTGATGCCACTACGTATGGAATCTTTATTGAAAAGGAGAGAATGAATATTGGATGGAATCGGTGTAGGGTTTTTAATGATTATGGTATAAGAAGATGTTTTAGGTGTTGTCGTTATGGTCACATTGTTAAAGATTGCAAAGAAAATAAGGTATGTGCTAAATGTAGTGGCGATCATGATTTTAAAGAGTGTAATTTGAATATTGTTAAATGTGCAAATTGTGTAGAGTCTAATCAAAAGTATGGTCTCAATCTAGATGTTGTCCATGTTACTTGGGATGTTAGTAAATGTGAATCCTATAAGAGAATTGAGGAGTTTCAAAGGAGTAAGTACCTAAAATAGCAATTAGATTCAAATATAATTTTAAACTCCAGCATTATTTACTTTAACTGTCAGGGTTATCTAAACAACAAAGATAATATTGCTTTATTAATTAATAATTGGAGGCCTAAGATCGTGTTCTTGAGTGAGACTCACGTATCACCGGAAATTGAGTCATACGAACTAAATATTGATGGTTACAAGTTAGAACAATGTACTAGTAACAACAATAGAACTGGAGGAGTTATAGCTTTAATTAGGTGTGATGTTGGATATAAAATTAAAACTGTACAGTGCGTTGATAATTATGTGTGGTTATTGTCTATTGAATTATCTTCGTCTGGTCCAAAGTACTTGTGCTCTGTATTGTACCATCCACCTCAAAAATACGATGCCAAATTTATAGATTTCTTTGATGAATATCTGGATCAAGTCAGTGATTTTAATGGTATCAATGTTATCATGGGAGATTTTAACTTTGACCTACTGAAGCAGACTTATTATGGCAATAAAATAATCAATACTATATATAAAAATGGATTTACCCAAATTGTTAAAACACCAACTAGGGTAGTATCCAGAAGTCAGACATTAATTGATTATATAGTAACCAATGACAAACATCTTCCACATAAAGTTCATCTTACACCTAAAATTAGTGACCATTCCATCCTGTCAATTACTCTTAATCAACATAAAGAACAAACTCTCGATATTATAAGCTATAAAAGATCATTTAAAAACTATAATTGTGACAGGTTACAGCAAGAGTTAATTAACATTGACTGGAACAACAGTATCTCTGATGTAAATTTTCTAGCGAATTCTTTTATCACAGATGTCAAAAACATTATAGACAGCATGTGTCCTAGGGTAAAAATTGTCCAGAAACAAAAATATTTGAACAAAAAATGGATTACATTGGAGATTAGGGAAATGATGCAGGAAAGGGATTTATTATATACAAGGGCCATTATGGATAAAAATGAGAACACCTGGAATGAATATAAGTCCAAAAGAAATACCATTGTAAATAAAATCCGAGTGGAGAAGGAAAAATATTATGTTGAAACCATAGACCACAATAAGAATAACCCTAAAGAACTTTGGAAAAACCTAAAAACTCTATTACCTGGAAAAAAACAAACCATACCAGACGAAATCAGTTTTGATTCGGAAATAGTCAAAGAAGAGTCAAACATAGCCCATAAATTTAATAAATATTTCGTGGAAAGTATTGATGCTATTATTCAAGGTATACCACAAACAGCAAACGTTATACCCCATATAAACAGGATCCCTGAACATAGTAAATTATTTTGTAATTTTGAAAAAATATCTATGTTAAAAATGAAGCAAATAATTAAAAATCTGAAAAATGTAGGAGGCGATGAAAGTGGCATATCTAAGCAAGTCCTTTGTGATGTTTTTTATGCTGTTGGTGATCGTTTTTTGGACATCATTAATACATCACTTAGTTCTGGTGTTTTTCCTGAGTCATGGAAATTGTCAACAGTGATTCCAGTTCCCAAGGTGCAAAATACAAAAAGTCACAATGAGTTTCGACCAATTAACACAGTTCCCATTTATGAAAAAGTAATTGAATTATG